AGCAGTAACGACGAGCTCCGTGCCAATCATTACATGACAGCATTTGCTCAGTTTGTCCGCAAGACCTTGACACATTCACAGTCGCACTGGTTGCCGCTCTCTGAGGAATTACTGATGTTGCAAACCTATATTGAGCTGGAACAAATGCGATTCAAACAAGTCTTTTCTTTTCAACTTGTAATCAGCGACATGGTACGGCCTGAACAGATAGTGATACCTGCCATGCTGATCCAGCCCTATGTAGAGAATGCGATCAATCATGGTCTGCGGCATTTAAAAGGCCGGACGGGCGCTTTGTTGCTTCGTTTTACATTACAGCACCATTGCCTGGTCTGCGTGATTGATGATAATGGTGTGGGCTTTCCGGCCGCGCAGCAAAAGAAATCGGAGAACCACCAGTCCTTTGGCATGCACATCAACCGGCAGCGGATAGAAACGATTAACCAGTTGTACCATACCTCGATCCAAATGACTGTTATCGATAAGCAGACTATTGATCCGTCACAGTATGGTACTGCGATTGAGATCATTATACCACTTAAACTGAATACCGATCATGCTGAATACGCTAATAGTTGATGATGAAGAGGATAGCAGATCTTCTTTACAACATTTCCTGACCAAATATTGCCCAACGGTCCGGATCGTCGGCACGGCGGCTTCGGTGCAGGAAGCATTGGTAATTATCCGCAATTACCCACCGGACCTGGTCTTTCTGGACATTAATATGCCATATGAAAATGGCTTTGAATTATTCCGCACATTACCGGCCCCTGATTTCCATACCATTTTTGTAACGGCCTATGAAGAGTATGCGCTAAAGGCTATTAAGCATCATGCCCTGGATTATATTCTGAAACCGGTAAATATTACAGAACTGATGCAGGCGGTGAACCGGGCAGAGGGACTTGCTGATAAACAGATTGTAAATCGTCAGATCAGCAATTTGCTACAGTCCATGCAACGGCTGCAAACACCGGAGAAAATCAACATTCCACTTGCGGACGGCTTCCTTTATGTGCCTGTCCAGGATATTATCCGATGTGAGGCGGAAAGCAGCTATACCGTTTTCTATTTTACCAACCGCAGTAAGATCGTAGTAACAC